TGGCGCTGCGAAAAGATATTGCATCTCTTTGCATTTTATTTCGCATATACCATGGGGAGTGCTTCGAAGAATTGTTCAAAATAATTCCAGCTGCTAAATTTCGTGAAGGCACTACACGGCAAACCTCCCGATACCATACACACCATCTGGATGCTTGGCGGTCCACCATTGTACGTTTCACTAGGAGATTTTTTCCGCGTACGACCGCTCTGTGGAATAGTTTACCACCGGCGATTTTTCCGCATACGGACCGACGGAAAGGGCCGGCAATGCACCTGCGATTCTCCTGGTGTTACGGTTGATCATGGGCGGCAGTAGTCACTTAACATCAGATGAGCCGCATGCTCGTTTGCCCCTTCTTCTATAAAAAAACCTGGTACAGACATTCATAGACGGCATCTATGACCTTGAAGTTAGAGCTGCTGTGAGGCTCGAGAACCACGAGACGCTCAAGGAGGCCTTGGCCCGTGCACTTGATGTGGAAGCCGATTGGCAGGATCAATGTTGCCTTTGCGTCAGGGAGGTAGCAACAGCTACAGCTCGCGATCGCCATAAAAGATAAAGCCCTAAGTGCTACATCTGTGGAAAAATGGGCCATCTTCGATCCAGCTGCCCTAAGCAATTTTTAGAAAGTAAATGTTATTGATCTCGAGAGGGCAGTGCGGTTAATAGCACCGCTCAGCAGCAGCAGGAATATGAATTTGTGATGGAACATCGCAGCAGAAAATCAAATGGCAACGCAGATGCGTTGTCAAGAAGAAATTTTCCTGAATATTGCAAGCATTTCCGTAGGCAAAAGGGTAAATAAGAGTTATCTGTGAGTATGCTTAAGACAGACTGCCTCAGCAACTAGTGGAAGAACAGCCTATATCATGCACAGCAAGAGAACTCAGACATCAAGCCTATTCTGGAATGGATGATGATGCCAGTGTTCCCAGGCCCAAGTGGGCGACGTCCCAGTGATGAGTTCGACCACGAAAAAGCTATTGTCCCCAATGGGACAGCTTGCTGATTCAGGATGAAACCCGGTGCCGTAAATGGAAAAATGGTCAGGGAGACAGCTGTCATTTGCAAATGGTTGCCCCTAAAGCTAAAGTACCGGATGTTCTACAGTTGTTTCATAATGATTATTCAGGAGCCCATCTGTGAGATAAGCGATCTCTACTGAAGATCCGAGAACGGTTTTACTGGTTACACTGTCGAGAACATGATGAGAACTGGTGACGCAAATGTACAAGTTGTGCGGCTGTGAAAGGACCTGAATCTTATAGTAGAGGTGCATGGAAATTTTACAATATTTGTGCACCATGGGAGAGGATAGACGTTGCGTGGCCGTTTCCAAAAAGTGAAAGTGGTGACAAATATTTCATGGTTGTGATGGATTACTTCACTAAATGGCCAAAATTTTTCGCAATTCCAAATCAGTAAGCTTCAGCAGTTGCAGATAAACTAGTTCATGAAGTCTTCTGTCGTTTTGGAGTACATTTAGAGATTCAGAGCGATCGAGGAAGGAATTTTGAGTATCAAATATTCCAGGATACTTGCCGAGTTATGGATACTCATAAAACAATAACAACTTCTTACCAACCACACACCACAGAATGGTAAAACGATTTAACAAGAAATTGGAGAAGTACCTAGCAAAAGTTGTAGAAAATCGGCGATGAGATTGGGATAAGCACATACGACCGATATAAGTACATCGGTGATATCAGCTTTCGCAAACTTTGGAAGAGAATTATAGATGCCTGCGGACCTGATCACCAGTACATCACCTGATGTCCCGCGCAGTATAACCGATTATGCAAATGACTTGCAGAAAAAAATTAATGATATTTTATGAGCACTTCAGACACTCGGGCTAGTGATTCAATGATGTTATATACCGGATACAGAAAGGTGCAGTAGGTACTCCTAAGTTCGTCCATGTGGATCCGCTGGTGCGTTATTATGGGGCCAATAATGCTCGGGTCGAGCATTTCCAAGGAGGGGGCAGTGTTGCGTGCAATAATTAATGCCATTAGCGCCGTCTAGTATCGAGTAGCAAAACTAGGAGAGATTTCTAGAAAATTTCATTCTAGAAATTTCTACACCTAGTCAGTCCTGACCAGTACGTGCTCCAACATTCTAGATGTTTAAGTAGAAGAGGACCCATATAAGACCTATAAAGACCGCGACCGAGTCAATATTGAATTTCTGATAAAAGCGCATACATCTAAGCGATATAACAGCAAACTAAAGTGTTCAGAGCGATTAATTATTACTGTGTTTTATGTTGTAATTGGTGTTCGGTAATTGAAATTTAAATTTTTGTAATTCAATCGGCACTTTTTACCACCCATCAAATGTAATATTTATTTATTATACCTACAGGATGCAGGTGTATACAAGCTATATTGTGAATGTGGTCTCTCTTACATAAGTCAAATAAAAAGATCTATAAAAACCCGCGTGAAGGAACATATAGCTGACGTGAAGCACCGAAGCTCCGAGATGTCTGCAGTCTACGAACATGTTCATGATCGTCGCCACCAATACATTCGCTTTGATGAACTACAAATCCTCGCAAAAGAACACCGATTTCTACCAAGCATCCTTGGTAGAAATCAGTGTTCTTATACGCGAGCTTCTTCTTCTTATAGTTTATACGCGAGGTTATTGAAATTAAAAAAAAACATCCAAATTTCACTAGAGAAGATGGATGGGTGCTGCCATCTGCTTGAGCACCTATAATTAATAAAATTAAACCCAAACCCAAGAATACCACTGCAAGACTTCATGATACTATAAGCTCCTTTTGCGTAAATCGGACCAAAAACACCCGAAACGTCGTGATAGTAAAAATAAATTAAAGCAATTAAACGCGATAAAATCCATAAATTATAGTTTTGTTCAATAATTTTATATATTTATGCGTCATAACCATTACGCAGCAAAAAATAATCATGTACTCAAGAACATAGTTGGAAAAAATGAGAAGAAATTATTTTATAACGATATTTTTCAATATTACCGTCAAAATAATTTATCTTTAACTTGCATACTCTTTCTCAGAAGTTTCAACTGCAAGCTAAGTTCAAAAAGCTTATCTTAACTTTACTTTAAAGCTGTCTAGCATTACTTATTTTTAATCTCTTCCCTGCGGTGTACTCCGTTTAAGTTCAAATTACGTTGTTCTGAAGTGAAGATCGAATATCTGCATTCATTTTTCAATACTTCGTAAAGTGCTATCGGTGAAACTTTTGTAATTAGGTCTCTATGTTTGTTGTTTTATAAGAAGCTTTACTTTTTAAAATATGATATGCAATCTCCGACTTTTATTAATTTTGTCCATATTAAAAACACTAACTGAAATATTCGCAATGAGATAGGTCAGTGTTAAAAAGAACTACAATGCTCAAATTTTAATTTGCTCACAGGTCTCTCGTCATTTTTAAGTTATAATTTGGATTATCAAATTTGGGGGAAAACTAATAAACTAATATCATATATCTCCGTTCCTTCGTTATATTTTAGTCCAATTTTTACCTTTTTCACTGATATACCTCCTGCTCCATCTTTCCGAGTCCCTCTCAAGTCGTAATGGTCTCCGTTTCACTGGGTGCAGAGGGACAAAGACGAGTACGTGTACCTGTGTCCACGCGTACACTCATGCACGTTAATATCTCCTGCGCAATTGACCTGCTTTCAGTTAGGACTCCGATCTAAACCAATGTCCTACGGCGATGGGAGAAGGTAGATATGCTCGTTGAGTTTTGTTTGACTCCTGCACGTAGGCGGTCTTGAAGGTGTAGTGTACATCGTGGTCGTTTCTACTCCGCATTGGGGTAACAGAGCGGATTCAGCAGCACCCAAGGTGACAAAGCAGCCCTATTTAGGGAGGCACTGCTTTCCTCGCTCATCCGGGGAGGGTGCTAGAAAGGTAAACAAATGCTCTTTCTAATCCTTTAGGATGGTATTCACCGTGGCTGCCTCAGCAACACAAATCTGCGGTCTACGCTACAGAAAAATAATGAAAACTTTAATTTATCAAAATTAATGACATTGGCGCGTGGAATGTGCGTACACTTCTTAACTGCGAAGAAAATGCCTGCCCTGAGCAGAAAACTGCCATTATAGCTTTGGAACTAAGTCGCTATAAAATTAATGTGGCTGCACTCGGCGAAACATACCTCCCCGATGAAGGAGAGCTGGTAGAACACGGCGGCGGGTATACTTTCTTTTGGAAAGAGCTGCTGTAGGCTTTGCTGTCAAGAACTATCTTGCTGCTCAACGACAAGAATACCTTGTACACGTCTCGGACCGCATTACCACATTGCGTATTTACATGGAACGTGAATACTATCTGAATGTCATCAGTGTCTATGCCCTTACGCTAGACAAGTCTGATGAAATTAAGGACAAATTCTACGAAAACTTGACGCAGTGCGTAGATCGTGTCCGTCAAATCTTTCTCTTGGGCGACTTCAATAACCAAGTAGAACGAGATTATGATACCTGGCCTAAAATTCTGGGCAGACATGGTGTTGGTAAAATGAACAACAGCGGCCAACTATTGCTTACAAGACTGATCACAAGCTTGTTATCATTATATTAAATCTTCATCTTCCACGTCCTTGTAGATCGTAAAGATCTAAACAGATACGTCTGATACTTGAATGACTCCAAGATAATAACAGGCAATAACCGAAACCATGAGCACTGCTCTGCAGCTCCTCGACCTAAAATCAGGTGAGATCAATACTGTCTGGGAGTCTCTATCTTCTCATATTCTCAACACTGCTATATCTTCTCTAGGTTTGAGAGTCCGAAAATTTGAGGACTAGTTTGATTAGAAGGATGGGGTACTTACGGTCGCTATACATAAACACCGTAGGCTCCTAAAGTACAGTAGAACTTATCAGAGTGGAGGTTTTATGGAGTTGCGTCATAGTAATATTGAGCTGCGTAAACTCGCACGACAAGCGAAATATAAGTGGTGGCAGGAGAAGGCTCGTCAGATGCAGTGGCTTGCTGATACCAACCAGCTTGGTGAGTTTTATGCTGAGGTGCGACATCTACTCGGAACGTTCTCTATGGCGAAAATTCCACTGAATTCTACTAGTGGTGAAGCGCTATTTAAAAGCAGGGAGGAAATACTCGAGCGATGGGCAGAGCATTTCAACACCCTCCTTAACGTGGATCATTTTGTTTACATAGACCATGTGCGCTGCCTACCTCAACAATATTTCGCCCTCGAGCACTATGATCCAGTCTCGCCTGATGAAATTGCCCTTGCCATTAAACAACAGCAAAATAAACACGCGGTTGGTGTTGATTCTGTACCGGGTAAATTATCAAAAAAGCGCGCTGAAAAAACACGAAAACAAAAAAATCAAAAAAATTTTTTTTTTGTGCTGCGGAAAATTGACCCCTGAAGGAATCCACATTCGTTTCCGCAATGATGGCAATATTTTCAGCTTAGACAGACTTAAGGCCCGTACGAAAGTGTCTTACGCACTTATTACAGAGATCGTCTTCGCAGATGATCTATGTTTTGTGACCGATTCCTCAGCTTACCTGCAACAGCTCGTGACCACCTTTCATGAGTCGTGCCGTAGTTTTGGTTTGAAGATAAGTGTAAAAAAGACGGAAGTGATGTCTTTAGATATCTACTGTCAAGAGACACTGGCCATCAAACTCGGTGATGATATACTTAAGCAGATCTATACATTTCCTTATCTAGGGAACACGATAACATTAAAGTGTGACCTTGATGCTGAAATCAACAGTCTGATCGGTGCCGCTGCTGCGGTATTCGGTAAACTGTCTTTGGTTCACATGACCTAAACTGGCAACTAAAATTGACATTTATAAGGCGGTAGTGCTGTCTTACATGTTGTAATCTTCAGTCATGGACAATTTACCGCCGTCATATACGGATGCTGAATTACTTCCACTTGCAATGTCTGCGCAAAATTCTCAACATCCGTTGGTCTGATCGCACTCGAAATACGGAAGTGCTGCGTAGGGCCCATACCATGGAGAATGAGGCACACCTTTTGAAGCGACGATTCCGTTGGTATGGACACTTATCGCAAATGTCAGACCAGCGTACGGCAAAGTGCATTTTTCTATGAACTTGAGGAGTGCAAGCGTAAGCATGGCGGACAAATTCTCAGGTACAAAGATGTACTTAAGCGCCACATGAAGAAATGTGACATTGAGCCTTTAGAGTAGGAGTAAGCAGCCGCTCGACGACCGGAGTGGAGGTCTTTGGTGAAAGCCAAGGTCAAAATGTTTAAGGAGAATGGCTGCTTTGAATTGGATTACCGACGTGATGAACTCAAAACACGCCAACCTTGTGTGATTTAACTATAATTTCTGTAATTCCCTTATAAACAAGATCGGTTACGTTAGCCATGCACGAGCACACCAATAACAGTATCGGAGTTGAAGAGGTCGCCGTGGCCGTAATTGATCGAGGAATATATATATATATATATATATATATATATATATATATATATATATATATATATATATATATATATATATATATATATATATATATATATATTAGTCCACTTCCATATCAAAATGGAAAATTTCAAAATTACTCTGATACCACGAAAGAAACTATGCTGTTTTATTGTTATTTTTCTTAAGTAATAGTAAATTAAGAACTTATAGACGTCCCACAGTAGGGCACATATCTGCTCTCTTTTCTTATAGGGCTGTAGAGCAACCTAGCTTTATTCCCCGTCGACAACGATTAATGTTGACATATAACAATTTTATTACTTGCTATAATCGTCTCTTATGACACTCACGGGTTGAAATGGTGGATGCCAGAAGGATATTTTGTAGTAACTTTAAAATGCGTTTCGGCTTTTTGTTATAAGCTAGATTTCAGACTTTTTTACTATAAGCACATGATATAAAAACTTGCGTGTCTGAGACAGGCATGCCGTTTCTTCTAAATATCAATCCCACAGACAAGGAATGATACTATGTTATCTCAACAAATGTTTACACACTTCTGTATTAATAAAAAAGTAACAGTTAAAGTTAAATATGTGATATCTTGTTTAGTAAATCAAGTGAACTTGTCCCTTTCTTTTATCCAATATATAGTGGTGGCGAAAGAAAATTATCTCGTGATTTCCGCAAGAATTACCGTGACTTAGGAATATCAAACGAAAGATGGCAGTAACATCTTTCTGATAATAACTGAAAGTAATAAGAGACTGCGGTTTTCAACCCGCCTGCTAAGTATAACAACTGTGGCGAATTCCTCATATGAGGCACTATATGGCCTATATTCAGAAGTTAATAGGTGATAATAGATGATTCTTTAGTATGTCCATCCTAAACGACTATTTAACGACAGATTTTTTGTAACATAGGCTTTTTAATTGTACTAAAATAATTACCGCGTCGGAGAAAATCACGACACTGATTAGGAGACGTATAATGACTGACTAAGTGAGGTGACTGCACTCTCAATTCTTCGTACCCATTTACTTTTAATTTCTCACCTCATTCCAAATGATTTTTTTTAATATCTTAATTATTTTTGTACATATATGTAAGAGATTACAGAAGAACATGCTCAAATAATAATAAAAGCATTTGAAGTAATATTTTTTTGCTTGGTCGACTTTTGTAATGCCTAAATATTCTGAAACCAAAATATTGTCATTTAAATAACATTACAATCAAAACAATTAAAATCATTATTTGTTTGTTAAAAAAATCAGAAACATGGTTAGCTGAGTGAAAATCACTCATGTGTAAAAGATATAAGCGGTATTGTTTGTGTTATTATTTGCACAAAATCAAGCTTAATTGAGATGCCTTTTGTCCTTCAGACAGTGATTATATTTTTGATGGCCACTTCTGATTAAATAAATTAATCAACAATTTTGATATCTTAAAATTCAAACAAGCATATTATGATATAATATTTCTAGGTTTAAGCTGACATTACATATATCAAAAAAATATTAAGGATAATATGCCAGCTTTTTTCCTACTGCTCATCTCACTTGCTTGCGTCTACTATGCTTACGATGAAGGCTCTGGTTTGGTGGTTTCAAACTGATGGGAAAATCCAAGTATGTTTCGGACGGATCAGCAAGCTGTGTGACACTCTGGAAGCCTTTCATCGCAGGGGCACCTTGTTCGGAGCCAAGTAGCATCAGAGGCAGCTGAACTAAGTGAGGTATATATGAGTATCTGCGAGATGATTACATATTTGTGCCATTTACTGTACAGAATACCTGTACGTGGTGTCTAGTTGCGTTTAAGCTACTAAAGGAACTGTATCCGCCATTGGTCGTCGCTGCGGCTGAAGAGAGCTGGTTATTTTCCTGCTCAAGCGCTAAGAATAGCTATTCATCTACGGCACGATACCACGGATAGTAAGACTGTGTCATTTAAGGTTCTAGTTTCAGTTATTTTAAATTATGGTATATAATATTGTAAATTTTTAAATGTTTTGTAAATAAATGGTAATATTACTTAATAATATTCTGTTTTTGTAGTTAACATTATTTTATGTGTACAATTCTTAAGCTTGAAATAAGAATATTGTAAAGCAAGCTATTAAAAAGTTTAAGATTTTTTCTAAAGATTTTTATAGCCTTGGAAAATACATAAAATTTCTAAACATAACACATTAGTCTATACATAGTAGAGCCATACAGCAGTTATATTAGTAATATAGTTGTAGCACGAAATGGTCGAAACGAGTGGACCACGCTCTCACAGAATACCAGCGTGTAATAGTAGCTTAACGCTGCTATGTTTCGTATGGTGAGTGTATAGACCGGAGACTTTTTAATGGAAACGAGGCATTCCATCTTAGTCCTCACGGGTGACAACGCATCTGCATTTTGATTCGTAATCGAGGATAGATGTAGATGTCTATGGGCCGCAGCAACTACTTACCATCAGGTGCTCCCTGTGTGTGCTCGTTTGTCACCCTATCCTATATAAAAATATTTTTTACCAAATTTTTATAGTTTAAGAATCATTTATCCCATAAAATTGAAAATTTTTGTAATTTCCTTAAATTTCAGCAAATACATACATTTAAAAATTCGCGTCATTTTGACCCACCATACAGTAGTTGTACTTATTTTCTACCGTACTCAGGCCGGTTTAAAGTAAATATGTGAATATAAATTATTTAGTCACATTTATTATAATTTAGATGATAAATCATTCCTAATAATTTAGTCATTGCTTATTGATGTTGTTATATCTATAAAGTTGAGAAACAAATTAATAGTTGGTAGACAGTAAAACCATTGATTAAATTTTTTAGATAGATAGATAAAAACATATCAAAGATTAAAAACAATTGATTAATAAAACTCCGTCACATTTTCATCACATACATAATTAATGTAAATATTTCGTAAGTTTTAACAGCCTGGAAAGGGCTAGCGCATTGCGCCATTTATGACTCCGAATAAAGTTTTCTCATTTCACTGCCAAAATCGACACATGTTTAAGCTTTAACACATTGCGAAATAGGTCACACTAATCTGACCTTACAGGGTTTTGTATTTACGTCAAAGAATACTATACCCTAAAAGTAATTATGGCATCAGATTTTCGATGGTTAATTTTGGTACGGATAAAATGAATTTCATTTATTTTTACACAGGGAATGACAAGCGAATTTACTTATAATCTTTGATGATCACTTTTATTTTATACTTGTCACTTCCTAGCCCCTACAAAATTTATAACCGGAACCCCAAAAACGAAACCACCCCATTAAAATCGGTAAATGACCCCAATAATAGCTCTAAAAGAAATTAAAGGGAGAAGAAAATAATATAGCAACAAAGGAGTATAATTTCTACTGGTAAATAGCTGCAGATGTGTCGTCACCCATAAGAACTTTGATAAAATCTCTCACAGTCTATAATTATAGTGACTCATTTACTTTTCAATCTGAAACACAAAAAAGGTGTAATCTACGGACTGTATTAGTCACTTACTATAAGGTGTAATGTAGCTCCGTTTGTCACTTTAGTCTTTTATATAAAATTGGAGTAATGCAAAAGTACGGCGTTACACCAGCTTTTTACTCTTTGTAAAATGTGATACCAACATGATAAACTGAAATTAACTGACATAAACTTCTGACCTAGAACAGATATTCATACATTATGGCCAAAAACAAACTGTATTTTATTATTAATAAGCGAACCAAGCCTTATCTATACATCGAAGTGCTGAAGTGTTTGTACAGTAGGGCTACAATGGCTATCCGAGTTCAGAACCAGAGTTTGAACCTATCCAACTGCAGAGAGGTGTAAGACAGGGTGACGTTATATCCCCGAAACTCTTCACTGCTGCGTTGGAAGACGTTTTCAAGCTACTGGACTGGAAAGGATACGGTAATAACATCAATGGC